CCGTTTAAACGGTTGATTCATTCGGGAACGAAACACCGTCATTGTTGCTCAGAGACGCAAAACAGCACCGTGGCTTTGTTTGGAATTATTTTTGTTGGCGAAAAAGTGCAAAAACAGGCAATATGGTGTCTTAAACGTAAGTCTCTTAATAAAACTTCTAGTTTATTGAACTGTTGTAAAAAAATCAATATCACATTTGTATATGGTAATTTTTGGAGAAAAAAAGGCACTCTTCCCTGTGAACTTGAGTATAAATATACACATTTTCTGCCCCCATTACTTGAATTTGTGATCATTCTGAATGTATTTTGATAGACTGAATCATGCAGTGATCAAGCAGAGCGCACTGCAAATGCGCACGCGCACTAGACTTCACGTAATGCGTGCGCTCTGTAGGTGTTTTGAATGTTCGTTTGTTTTTGCGTCGTGAGAATATTGAGTAAAATAGCTCACTTGTCACGCTCATTTGTTCTGAAGTCTCGAGACAAACAGAGTGAGCCTCAGCGCGAGCTTGTATTCTGTATTCTGCTAACTTACTGCAATTCTCTCTGACGACACAGTAACTTATCGTGGGTCGGTCTGTCCAATGATTGTAAAGTCATCAGGTCCATCAGACGGATATTTAAGAATATTTTAGCGGTAATGAGACCAAAAATAATTAAGACCCATCGAATCCGAATTTAAGACATTTTAAGACTTTTTAAGGCCTTATATTAGGAAAACGTTATTTAAGACTTTTTAAGGACCCGCAGACACCCTGAGACTCTACCTTTATTTGTGTGCACTCACAATAACAACAAAACATTGCGCTTTTGTAAAATAATGAAAGCAAACAGGATGCGCTTTCTGCCATCTCGGTCTCCGTGAAACGTCAAAACTCTGTGTATGCTTGCCTTACAGATATGAAAATATATCTATAGAGAGTGAAATGTTTACTTTCAAATGAACCAATTCAAATGGAAAACAAATATTCTCAGATTATGTAATCCGTAAGAAAGATGCATACAGCTGCATCCACTACTGCGGAGATGACGAGTCAGTGTCGCTAATATCTCTTAAACCGAAAACAAAGAAAGCACTAGCTTATCAATAACTTGTTAAAATTGTTAATGCAGCCTTCTTACTGTTTTCCTCTGAAACATACATAATCATTACTTCTGCTCATGCGCGGTGGCAAGCTTTATGCGTGTGCTTGAGCACTTTTTAGGCAATGTAGGCAATTAACCCTTTAACTCTCACCCGTCCCCTCTGTGGGACACCTAAGTTTACTTCACTATATTACAATTAAATCCTAATCTAATCATGACAAACTATATATCGTTGGAAAGGTCTAAGACTCCTAAATATACATTTTACCAATGTTTTTGTTAAAAAATTATGTAGGAAAAGTTATAGATTAATTTTTGACAAGAGTGCACCTCAAAAATCTACATCATAACAGGAGTTCTGACCTTTGTCAAAAAAAGTCTTCTCTGTTGCCACACTTCTCTATCAGCTGAAAACTTCAAATCTCAAAATTCATCCTTTGAAACCCATTTTAAAATCAAACATTGCATTACCATGAAAATGGCACATCAATATCATGTTACAAAATGTTTTCGTTTCAACACGTCTATGTTCAAAAATGTGAGTGACAGTTAAGGGGTTAAAGGCTCATTATTATGATTTAAATGCTTTATTAATAAACGTGCGATTAGTCGGCTCCTGCGTCAGCAGCATCATACATATGCATTCTGGTACTCTCGTGAATGGCGGCTGACAAGGAAGAGAAAATGTTGCTGAATTCAGTCATATTTTTGTTTTCTTTGAGCACAAAAAGTATTCTCGTAGCTTCATAAAATTACAGTTGAACCACTGATGTCACATGGATTATTTTAACAATGTCTTTATTACCTTTCTGGGCCTTAAATGTGGTAGTTGCATTGCTGTCTAATATGCAGGGTCAGAAAGCTCTCGGATTTCATCAAAAATATAACACAAATGTGTTCAGAAGATGAAGGTCTTACAGGTTTGGAAGGACATGAGGGTGAGGAATTAATGACAGAATTTTCATTTTTGGGTGAACTATCCCTTTAAAGACAATGTAGGTTTTCTTTTTTTTTTTTGATGGCTTAACGCAAATACATGTACACTACCATTCAAACATTTGAGATGAGTAAATAATTTAATTTGAAAGAAATATCTTTATTCATCAAGGACACATTAAATTGACTAGAAGTTTGTAATGTTCAATTTAAAATAAATACTATTCTTTTGAACTTTCTTTTCATCAAAGAATTCTGACAAAACATATTTAGACTTTAAAATATATTTAGAACATAAGTTATTTTCAATTTAAATAATATTTCATAATATTACAGTTTTTGCTGTATTTTTGACAAAATAAATGCAGCCTTGGTGAGCATCTTACAGACCTCAAACTTTTGAACATTAATGTTAATTCAGGGAAAATAAAAACTTTTTTCCTCCAAGTAAAAATTTGTTTCAGTGCAATCAGATTATGATTCTTACAACTAGATTATATATAAGTTGGTGAGTTCTGCGAACCTGTCAATGGCAATTTTTTAATTCACATTTGGCATGTGTACATTTTGGATCCTGCTCACAAGCAAATAAACAAGGCAAAACTGCAAGAAAAGATATGACTCAACCTCTACAAGTATGTAAAGCCTGAGCTAATGCTGTGAATCTGAGCGTTTTATCATCACATGTTCATATCAGCGGCAGCATCAGTGTTGTGTCTACGCTCAACCTGCCCATATCGCTGTCTGCAGAGAACCGCCATTAGCTGTCTGCCTGACTGCCGTACTTCTCTCTGGGGCTATGAGGGTGTTTCACTAGGAAAGAGTAACGGAAAGGATGCACTGCACTCACCTGCTCGCTTTTTTGGGAAACCTGAAAGACAAAGGAATTTTTTTTTTAGAAAAGGTGTTTGAAAAAATATGCTAATAGAATATTTACAATAGTAATTTGATTTTCACAGTATAGTACCATTCAAAAGGTCGAAATATTTTTTTTAACAGTACCTAAGGTCACCAAGGCTGCATTTAAATCAAAAATACAGTAAAAACTGTAATACTGGGAAATATTATTACAGTTTAATGTTAATATATTTTAAAATGTCATTCATTCCTGTGATGGCAAAGCTGGATTTTCAGCAGTTATTACTCCAGTCTTCAGTGTTACACGATCCTTCATAAATCATTCTAATATATTGATTTCTGTTAAAGAAACATTTCTTATTGTTAAAAATGGTTATACAGATTAATATTTTTGTAGAAACCATAATACATTTCTTTTAAGACACTTGGATTAAAAGAAAGTTCAAAAGAACAGCATTAATTTGAACAAGACATTATTGGTCTTTTAATCACTTTTGATCAATTGAATGCACCTTTGCTCAATAAAATGAAATTACTACTTACTATGTCACCCCCCAAATCTCAATAACATTTATACATTAATTAATATAAATGTTATTTTTGAATGAATTCATTTTTAATGAATTCTAATTAATTACATTATATATTAATATAAATGGTATAAAAATGTTACTTAAAAATACCTAGTAAAACCTGAGCAGAAAAAAAAACATCTTACATTACGGTAAGGTTATACAACAATGCAGCCATTTCTTTAGGTAATTCAACCCAGAAATGTTTTATATGCTACATAACTATTTATTGATAATCTAGTGAATTATAATCCACCACAGATAAACAGTATAGTGGAATCGCTACTGGTTGACATACTGTCCTCAGCAAGCACCACTAATGATAGTTTCCAAACATATCCAAACAAGCCCACAAGGGCCATGCGTTATTATTTTTCGGTCTTGTTTTCTCAGAAACATTACATCATTATTTTTGCAGCTATGCAGAAATGACACACTTCAGCATTAATTTGCTCTGCTTTACATCAACTGTTATGTTGTAACTGCCTATAGAAGCTTTGCAGCGCTGATGGTAGTGTTGCATAATAAATTTGTGTATTTGACTTTCCATCACCCTAAACTTTCCCCTGCCCCATGTGCTGCCCATAATCTGTTTAGTGTGTCTTGCCAATGGCTTCATGTCCTGTACCAGGATCAGATTCAGCTTTAAGTACTCCCTTGTGACCCGGCATGACCTCTGTCAGAATTTAGTTTGCTTTCAAAACATCCTCTACATAAAGGACACAGATTGGAAACTTAACTAGTTTACACAGTTTACAGTAGGACACTTACAGTCATTAGCTGCTCCAAACTGGTCAAAATGGTTGACCAACAGACTACCAACTTGTGAATATTGTTAGTGCTAGTAGATTGCTAAGACTAGTTAGAGCTAACAGACCACATTTGAACAGCAGGCCAACTACCATGACTGAAATAAGGGGGTTTTCAAACATCATTGTAAGTTTGATGATTCTGTTGTGAGAGTTTTCCTTTCACTGCATGACAAAATAAATACTCGGCTTTCATATTGTTATTGCACTGAAGCCACAGCAAATTATGAACGTTTCTGTAAAATATAACAAATAAACATTTGCAGAACTGTATGGAGATTCAGATTTTCTTTTTCTTGCTCCTAAAGCCCGGGTCCTCAACAGAAAGAAATAATTGTGATTAATCTATTGATTTCTAACCAGTATTTAGAAAGCACAATCAAAAAGCAATAATGTCAAATGTAGTAAATATGATAACTTAATATATCAACTAAATGTTCATTGCAATAATGTAACATTAATTTTGACACAAGACAACACAATTCGGGGAAATTTATAAAGATTATTATTAATAAACCAAATAAGAAATGTTTATTTCAATATTGCAGTTATTATTGCTGATGTTGTTATAACTTACTAAACAAAATAAGAAATTACTATTATAATATACCACAGTAAAATAGTTGCTGCTGTTATATTACTCTTATTTTTATTATTATATTTTACAGTACAACTGTAAATTTACAATACTAATATTTATGTCTTAGGTATTTTGGTATAAAAGAGTGCCCTGCTTCACTCTGAAACAAACAGCACATACATGTATTCAAATAAATCGTAGACTTTGTGATTTGATAAAGCCATATTGCGATTTCGGGTTTATTCCGATTAATTGTGCAGCCCTAAAAATACACAGTAAAATCTTTATTATAAAACGGATAGTTCCGGTCCTTGATTCTGATTGGTTGAGCCGCGTTCGAAGCTGTTGTAAATTACACTACAAACATACACCTTTGTTTACCACAACCACAACCGTTTCTGAGGAACTACATTATTTGGTGCAGAATACTGTTTTTATTAATATCATTACACTTTATTTGCTCTGTTTTATTCTGTGAAACCTTACTACGTATATGGAATAACCAGTTTTATAAAAGCAATAAGCCCCGTAAAGCCATGGTTTACAGTGAATTTATAACAGCTAAGGGGGTTTTAGACACTCCACTTCACGTCGTGCCTAACAACGCCCCTTAGCTGTAATAAATTCACTGTAAACCACAGCTTCACTGGGCTTATTGCTTTATTTTCCTTCCCTCATACCCCCTGGAGGTACCCCCGTGACTCCACATTGAAAACACTTAAACTACATTTTAAATAACATGCTAACAATGTGCAGTGCTTTAGACTTTAGTTTGCACAGTAAAATATTATTGGAATAGCCTTTTTTGCCTTTCATATCCTTTAAAGCGCCACAGTCACACACATTCAGACAGAATGGTTGCATCATTAAATCTTGCACTGTAGTTTGAACGTACTACTACAAGAGTTGACAGCATGTCAAGTTAAAAATGTGTCTGGAGGTCTTAAACCCATAACATATCCGAGCCTGAAATCACCTCAATTACACAAGCCTCGCTCAAGAACAATGAATCGACCAGTTGATTTTGAAAGTATGTATTTTTGTACTCTCCCACTTCAAAAACAAAAAAACAGCCTGAACATGTTAAGCTGGTGTGACATGGTTTTTCCAGCAGGGATTTCTGCCCTTGACCACAGAGCGGAAAATACATTGCTTGTGTACACACAGTAAGGCTTTCATCAAACACACAAGTTTTGATGTTTCCACAGACATCAGATCCTCTATTCTCATGAGTCACATGTATTTTTTTAATATGTGCGTCAGCCATTAACATGGCATACTCCTGAGATAGATCACAGCGATAAACTCTGCAGCTGAACACGCAAGAGTAGCCGTATCTCATCGGCGAGTGGGCTGCTCTTGGGGAAGGAGCCTCTTTACAGAAATAGCTCAGACATCTCGTCCTCCCTCCCTCTCAGCTCCTTCCGCGGGTGTTTTTTGTTTTTGCTGCTGTTCCTTCCCCTGCACAATGGAGCTCCGCACGGGAACAATAGCCTTCACGTCAGAGCCGGCCCACTACACAGCAGCCCTGTGGGCCTGATTCCCGGAAACAGAAAGGGCTTCTGGCAGGGTCCCCTGTTTCCTGAATGTGTGAATGAGGGAGGGAGGGGGGAAGGGGCGTTTGGGGTGGCTAAGAGTGAAGGCAGAGGGCAGGACTGGGCCAAAATAAAAATTCTCAAGGCTTTGCTCCCTCGCGCTTTCTACTTCTCTCTTTTCCGACGCGCTGCTCTCTCTTTCTATGGAAAACTGTCTTTAAGCTTTTAGTGGCCAACAAACAAAATCACAGCTTAAACATTCTGAAGCACTGCCGATCCAGGCCACAACAATCAAAGCAGAGAACATCAATCCTCCGAGAAATCAAATGGATGTTTTTCGTTAATGCCAAGTGAAAATGAAAGAACTATGGACTGAAAAGTTAGAAAATCTGATTTCAATAAGACGGGAAAATCTGTAATTATTTTGCGTGACTTTGTGGAAACGGGAAGAGCTTCATAATCCAGTTCACAAGAGATTAGAGAGGAAAAGAGCATTAATGTCATGGTACTTTGGTTACTTTTCTTACTGAGCTGTCTGAGTGATTCAGATGGTTTTGTTAACCCGTTTCACTGATTCAGTATAGGCAAAGACGTTTTCAGCTATTTTTTACATATTATCCAGTAAAAAGATAGAATCACAAACTGAATCAGACTGTTTTGTTAACCTGTTTCACTGATTCATTATAAAGAACCCATCCGAAGAGTGAGTCCTTCGCATCGTGGCAATGCTGGTTTTCTAATCAACTAACAGAAAAAAAATAGACTGATTGATAAACATGCCTGATAAAATATTGTCAAAGAAAATCTTCCTCATCAGAGAAGGATTTTATTAGTAAATCTTTACTTATTATCCAGTAAAGAGTCTAATGGCACCCACAACCGAGATCATATAACAAAAATAATCTGGTTAAAAATTCCACTGTGTTCATCTTGACATGAGGAAAAAATATTGTTCCCTCATTTTATTTAAATCATGGCCATGTTGTTCTAATTTGTGCCCTCATTTTAATTCAGTTTAAATGTATCATGGGAACAAATGCACAGTATCTTGTGTACCTATATCTTGGACTCAGCAGACTTCAGTTCCTTAAAAAAATAAATTAAAAAAAATCAAATTATTCTCAGGGATATACTTTGAACTAGCTATGAATGTCACAGATCTGTGAGCAGTCTCTATGCAGAAGACATCACAGAAACAAACATCAAACACACATCCAAGCCAATAAAGTGCATTCAGACTGACATAAACCTGTGCCACAACCTGATACTCAACAGCTTTTGCCAGCTAAAATTTAACATAAATCACTATATAATAGAGTTTACGACATTTGCAATGAAAATAGTGAATAATGAAGAGATGAAGTGAATAATGATTTCAATTTTGGTCAATTCGTCTCACAAAGAAATTGTATCACAGAAACAGTATTAGCATTTCTTCCAATCTGTGATGTACATCCTAATGCAACAGATTATGGAAAAAGAAAGATCTGAATGACAGCTTGAGGTTGTAAGAAAGG